TTCACTTTCTGTTTGTGGCACACCACTAATGACAAGGTTTTCTCTTCTTATATACTGATCTAATTCGTTATGATTACATTCTAAATCCGAGACTCTGTATTTCAGGACTCTGTTCTCTTCCACAAGTAATTGGTTAGCAGCCTGCACCTCCTCTAATTTCTTTCTGTTTTCTTCAAACAAAGCGTTAATAAATTGCATATACAATACACATATATAGAGATTGCCTGGTATTATATGAATGATCAATCTTTAAATTAAAAAAATGATAACCTGCCGTTGACAACATCATGGACAAAAAAGTCAAAGCTGTAACTTGTGCTGTTTGTAGATAGTAAAAATGTTAAACTTCCAAAAGTGATGAGGTTGAATACGTGGTCCTATCATTAAAGGTTCATTAAAAGATACGAACGCTTGATTTCTGTAAGAGATATATATCCTTAGGGCGTATATATATATCCACAAAAGTCTAAACCAGAGAATTTGCTGTGGGCGGACATTTTCAGAAAAATACACTAGTTTTACTATCGCCACGACAATTGATTGATTGTCAATGGAAACTTTGCATTTTGTACTTCTTTAATCGGTTTTCAAAGAAATCCAACACAATGTTTGTAATGTTTACTGCTTCCAATTATTAGATAATTTGAGTTATGATCAGTTTATTTGCATCGCACCATGTCGTAACTTTGGTCAATGAATTGTTTCCTGTTTAATGTGTGTAATAGTTTAAATCATCAGAATATAGTCACAATTTAACAACATTTGAGAATGTAATATGGACATTGGCTGTGTGTAATGTGATATTTAGTGATTATCCCTATGTATTGTGTTTTTTTTTTTTTTTTGCTATTGCGTTTATTTAGATTCCTAAGTATATGTAACGTTTTGTACACTTTGTCTGGGTAATGCATCCAGTAATGGGTCGAGAACGTGTATGATATGTATAAGTAATAATCTACAGGAAATGAAATAAAGTGTTATACATTTCACGTGTACCAGGTCGGGTTGCAGTTGCCACTACACCGTTATACTTTGGCGGATTCTTTGCGCTCTCGGGAGAGAGTTTCCCATGGGCCAGTGGATTGTATCCATCAGTTCTGCTAGCGATGGAGTATATCAATAACGATACAAGTCTTCTACAGGACTACGATTTGCAGATGAAAGTCGTTGACACTGCGGTGAGGATTTTAATTGATTTGTGTTCGCTTATTAATGAACGGCAAAACATCTATATATATTTGACGAATAAACCTCCTCCCCCATCTCAGAGATTTGAACTTTTTTTTGAGCAATAACTGGTCAAAATCAATTCGTATACTCGCCTTTCGGGGCGTTATTCCGTTCTAAATGTGCCAACCTCATTTTAAAAGTAAATCGGAGACTGAGAATAACTTTAAAGCACTTAAACGCATGTTTATAGCATGCGCAACGTTTGCTTTGCAACCGTTGTTGAATAAAACTGAAACTGAAACTAGCATACAGCGATCATATAGCAGAGGCGCGAATTTGTACACGTGTTTTTACGTTGTTGGGTTTATTCGTGGAGTAAATCATTACAATCGACATTTTGAAAAAAGAAAATACAGACGACAATTAGCACTGTATTCCGTAATAATATTTGTCTCTTGCTTTTCCTTTGAACAAAAATGTTTTTCATCGCACCCTGTGTTCTATTTCAGTTGATAGCAGGATTAAAACGTACTGTGTGTTATTCACGTCATTTAAACTACGGTATATCGTGTATTTAACCACGGGTGGCATAATCAGACAATATAAATGCTGGTATAACATTTCAATAACATTTCGCTGTATTTGTTATTGCATATCTAGAGCAATAGTGGCAGCGCTATGCGAGACTTGATATACATCCTAGCAGATGACGACCCGGTAGTTGGACTGATTGGTGCACCAAACTCACACGTTTCTATGGCATTAGCAGAGACTACCAAATGGTGGAACCTCATTCAGGTTAGTCGCGTCCATCTTCAATAAACCATGATGTCGGATGTGAATATTTGATGTTATTCAGTACATGCTTCGTTATACTTTCAATGGCTTGACGCATTGCCATCCATGCAGAATAAGCGACGAGCAGCAATCGTGCTTCATCCAATATCAATAAACGTAACATCTTGTACAATTCGCGTAAAGAATGTATGATGATTATGATGTTTCATTTGAACTATATTGTGAAACCGACATTTTGTTCAGTGGATTATGTAAACCGTGATTGTACATAGAAAGTTTGTGTGCGCACTCTCCCGTTGTTCTGTTATGGGCAATATGTTAGTGCGTGACATAAACTATGGTGTATTTAAATGGTATTCATATTACAGCTTATGTTTAATGGCCAACAACAGCTCGAGCAAAATGAACCAAACACGAGTAACTGAACGCAATACAGGATTGTTTGCCGAGGTAGAATAACGAGCAGAGCAAAACTCCGCGCCGCAATTTGAATGTCAGCTCAATACAGTTTCTTATTTGGGTTAGAATTGCTCATTGCTGTACAAGGTCAATTGGGAAAATTAAATTAGGTTAACGGACCAAATTACGCAGGTATAATGAACATGCTGGCAAATTCAAATTCAATTAACTAAGAATTATAGTCACTCTTAAACAACATAATTGAAATCATTGTATAACAAACGATATAGGCAGTTTGGTATGAGTTGTTTCACTAACTGCAAACGCGTTTGCGTGTCGTGCTTGGCACGCGTTAAATGCACACAGCTGTTTCGCCGAAAAAAATCGCAGAATAATTTGCACTACACGGTGAGGATCGGTAGATTCATGTATAGTAAATAGGGTCACCCGCCATACATTTCAAGCGTTAATTCACTCACTTCTATGCTGTGAATACTTTGAATGCGTAAATGAAGAACACCTTCAATTGCTTAGCACGTGTCATCATTAATAATCCCAGTATGTATATTTAATGGCAGCCTCAAGTAACGATATTTAATGGAGCCGTTAATCAATGAACTGAATACCCAACTGTGAATTTGAGAATAACTATCTGCAATGAGTTATTGTTAGAAGTTCACATCACAGATTTCCCAAGTGCCTAAGTGTACTTACGTTTCCTCTGCCAACCTTATTAGGGTCCACGCAGCTACATTTAATCAGAGTATTGTTATTGATATACATCATTATAAGAGTTATTTTAAGAAGCATGGGAAATGTTTCAATGATAAACTATCAATCGTCTATAAAGTAACACAGAATGTTGTAATACAATATGCAACTAGACGTATTTGTTATGTATAATGTCTCAGGATTAGCCAAGATATCTTATCTATTGGGATTGCTTGCTTGTATGTTTGTTTGACATGATTTATGATATATAATACTTTTATTATTGGCCTTTACCAATACTGAACAAAATTTCATCATGCGACCTCTACCTCAGTGATCTATGTGCAGTTAATTGTGTTTAATTTCTGTGGCATATTTTTTTTTTGATTTTCAGATTGCATGTAGTAACTATAACCCGGATCTATCTAACACAGAAGCATTTCCTCTGTATTTTCGAACTATTACACCAATCACGGCGTTCAATCCGGCACTGTTGGCTTTGATCCAATATTACAGATGGACAAGGGTTGCTATACTCTATCATCACAAAGACTACGAGACACTTGTGGTATGTTTAGATCAACTAATATGACGATAATATTTTGCAATATCTCAAAATTTTAGCATGTATTTTTCGTTTTTTATGGCAAAGTTGATTGTCCTATTTTCGTTATATTTCTTCAAATGTGTCGGTTATTTAAATAATATATTCATCCTATACGAGAAAGAAAAACATCAATATTAAATTTCTAGGGCTCACACGAGCTTCAAGCCATGCTCACAGATGTCAACATTACCGTTGTTGTGAACGAAGCTTTTATCGATGACCCTTCTGAGCAGATACAAAAAATTAAGGTACGTGTCGATTGTGAAGTAATATATATGCAAGCACCACGCAGTGTTGATTAGATTCACCTTATGCACACGCAAAAGTCGTTACCGTTATTTTCGTCGACTTATTGTATGTTTTAACAAAAGTGCAGCTATAAACAGGCAGTCGTTCACGTGACAATTTATGAACGTGAAACACTGTAAATTAATGCATTATTATTGACCGTCCTGCTCAGAGTATACTAGTACGCACTAACACTACAATATTCTGGTCAACTGTGCTGTCATATTTGCTACAAAATAAATTACATCGGTTACTTCATGAATCTTTTTTCAATTATACTAGAATTCAGTTTTTTATATTATATCAGGAACTTGACATACGTATAATAATAGGGTATTTCTACAGCCCAGAAGCTCGACGTGCATTCTGTGAGGTAAATAGCTTCCCTCTGTTTTCTTCTATTCACTGTTTGGTTCTATTCACTCTATAATACCTTCATATTGCTTCAGTATGTTGAAACATGTACATGCCAATAATCTAATTAAACTCATAAATATTTTACGAATCGAATATGTTTATACATTTTATTACTAGAATGCATCATTATCGATGCTCTTGAGTTAATTGTTAACTAGTCAATTTCAAACAAACATATTAGCTACGTCTTCATCACGCTTGGATAGGATAGATTTGGAAATTCCCTTGGTCGTCATTTGTATATGTGAATGCATCTGGTTTTTAAAAAGAAGGCTAATTTATAGTTCATTATTGTATACACGTCATTATGGGTATTCTCCTTCCGCATTCGAAAACTGTGGTGACTTTTCATATTCTGGTGATAATTACGTGTACCGTAACATACAAGAATGGTCTATTCAACAAAGCTACCAGTCGGGGCTACACGATTTTTCAACTCATTTGAGGCTTTGCATTTCCAATAAAGGATGTTTCAGAAGACACTTTTCACGATAATTGACATGCATTCACCGTTTTGTAAAATCTACTCATTTTCTTATTTCTGAAATGTATGTGTGAATATAACTTTAAACGCGACGCATCATCGGAGAATGTATCGATGTATTCAGTCAAAATACAGCTTGGCGGTTTGGGTCATCGCGGTTACATGATGCCAAGGTGTTATCACGATATCTGAGGTTGCATGTTTTAGTGTATCCAGAACGCATGATTAAAACATACACGTCAGTGAGCAAACCAGTGCAGTACAGTAGTTCGGTTGATTGTCGTTATGGCGTGTACAATGAGGCGTAGCGTGATAATCCCAGGTGAACCGTACGAGGACATCAAGATGTCAGATTAAATTATTGTTTTGGAATTCTGTATAGAATTATAGTATGAAATTAGTTTTATATTGACGAATGGTGTAAATGTACTTGTTGCTACAAGTGTGTGATCGAAGTCTATGGAAACACGTGGTACTGCCCTTCATTAAAGCAGTCCTTTCGAAGTTAATACCATCTCTTTATGAACTATTACAATACAGTCATACCGACATATGGCACAAAATGCATTTTAATTTATAAAACATAAAACACTGACATTTGGAAAACGTGTTTACTTTAGAACTCTTTTGAAAAAAATACAATTCAAGCACACTCAGATATGACAAAGTAGGCGTTGTCACAAAACGTTAACTTGTTGATAGTTATATTCGAATCATTTTTAAATACATTGCACTATGTTGTGCTGCTAGGCTTGACCACACAACGGATCTGGTAACATGTCATGTCAATGTCAGCGGGACGTAACAAAATTACTAACATGTGTTAAATAAATCTGATATTGTAGGATCATGAATTTTCTCTCGTGTTTATCGTAATTTGTGAGCGCGTATTTAAGATCGGAAAGCGTTTTGGACCATTTGCATAAGGGATCGCCAGGCCAATAATTGTGAAGTCAAATCAAATCCTGGCTGTTTCACAGTCCGTGAGGAATTCCCACGAAGAGTGGCACGAATTTATGCGCGGCTCACCGGAAATGTATTTAGTATGGAGATAAATATTACCACTTGCATTATATATAGAATTATAACAATAAATGTCTAAAACACGCGGGTCTCAACAATGTAACGTGATAAAGTACATATCGAAAACTGTCACATTGTTTGGCGACAATGTTGTCAAACTTGTCTTTTCATTGTACGCGCTTCTAGAAGGTTGTCGGGGACTTCTTGGTTTATATACAGTTGTATATCTACGATTACGATAAAAGTTCCATGTTGGCAAATTTAGGTTTTATTTTCGGGATTATTATTCAGTAGCTCAAAATAATCGATCGAAATTGAAGACAATTTTGACGAATTGAAGCAAATATCACACACGAGCAGCCGCCACAAAAAGCACGCAAAACGTTGCCTCGAAATTAGGCACAGTCACGTCAACTAAATTAGCATACTAGGCGTGCGCAATGATGTATTCGTATTCGGTGTTATTTCATAGTTCCAATTAAAATCAATCTGACTTATTTTTCTTTTTAGATCTGTTGAAATATGCATCATGTAATAAATATTAATCTCACGATCTGCTGTTAGTTTGACGTCATCGGGTACTCCTGATTACCGCCCATGGCTCAGAATAATGCTCAATTCTGGAGGTTACGTTGTTGCCATCAATTATTTTCAATTTACATGATGTGTGGAAACGTACAATGACAAATTGAAGTCTCTGGATTATAATGCTAGAGTTTGCAAGTTTTGCAAGTCGTCATGTTTGACTGTTACCGAGTAGACGCAAATGTTATTATTATTATATAGCGAGCTGTAAATGAGTGTGGCGTGATTGTTGCATCAAAGGAGCTTATAAAAGTACATGTACTTGGGGTTCTCGCTATAAAAAACAGTATCAGTAAATCAGATATCTAAATTACAGCAATTACGTCATTTATGTTGTATTATTTTCGCTGATTTGACGCCATTGTTGACGTGATCAAGTACAAAATAAGTAATCTCATAATATTGGCTCATTTAGTGGAGTTGTTGAATGTATTGCAAAACCGACACGAGTGATGTTCTATGCCATGCGACGCTCAAATATAATATGATTGAGTGATATGTATTCGGTCAGAATGCGATAATATCATATTTCCTTATTTCTTCCTATTGCAGTTTTAAATATCAAATATATGTGTGGATGCACGCCATTTTCCCATCATGTACAAGCTTTGATTTCATGAAATTATATTTGTTTAAGCATACAAACCTGCAAATAAGAATATCTGTCTCGTTTTTCTCCAAAAGTGTTAACATCTAATTACAACAATGCAGTATTCACACATCCACAGCGATGCGATCGCGTCCAATTCATAATCGAAACTACCCCTGTATAACGTTACCAAGTATTGCCCTGAACACGTGCTATGTTCTAGTTTCTACAATATTCGCTGTTCAGTCTGTGATATATGTTTTTAATAATAAACTTTTAGTGTTGATTTATCGCAAACATTATTTTAAAATATTCACAAATCACCAATTAATTAGGTTTGTTAAAAGAGCAGCATAAATTAATTAAATAACGTACCAAATAGTCATTAAAAATATAGCGGGAGGAGATTATGTCCGCATAAATCCCGAGTTGACATAAGTTTTGGGGAATACAGTGGGAAATTGGACTAACCCTCTCTGGGGTTACACCTCTCCCAACAACTCACGGCGTACATAATTTAGTTCCGCAGCTATGTTGTTAGTTCCCGGTTTAAAGGCCTTGTGGTTAAAAAACAAAAATAAAATTAAAATAAAGTACAGAACATGAGCAATAACAGGGAGAATGTACAGCACCAATGAAATAGCGGGCAATATTTCGTAATTGTTGTCAAAACCCTTTCAAAACAGCTAGACGTTTCGGGCAATAGCACTTCCTCCGATTAGCAGCATATGGAAATGTTTATAAAGTATAGGCAGGTAAAAAGAACATACTGTATATTATGCGTACCTAAGTTGATCACCGTTACCCTTTACAACATATACACCAAAACTGAACATATCCGTAGTGGTGCGCCCCTAGAATTAAAATGAAATGACAGTTGTTTAGTATATCGTGGATATTCAGCAAAACAATATACTGGTCGACGCACCGTTCAAACATTGAAAAGGCGGTGATACTGAACGTATTGCTGTCATGATCTCTATTGGGACCAACACTGAGACAATAATCTGTGATAAAAAGGATAAGTATTACACATAATCCTCGTGAACTCCCTTTTTCCTGTCACAGTATCAGCTAATAACCTCCATATATTAATGACGTAACCTCAAGCCGTAATCGAAAAAATAGTCTCTATCCTACTGTAAAATGTCTCAAATTTGATAATTATTTCCTGAGTAACGCCTGAACAGCCAGGTTTTTCGAAAATTCGTATCATCGCTACCCGAAGTAATTGAGAAAATTATATAAAATGCTTCCGTTTTGTTGGATGAGATGATTCATACTGTCAATAATTAATGATAACCGTTAGGTTGAGTGTGAATCAAGGTAGAAATACGATCGCCGTTAGCTCAAGTAGAAATGTCAAGGCAAGCAATGTGTTGTTTACATAAAAAAAACGGACTTAGATTTAATAGAACGAGATAGATCCATGATTAGTGGGCTGTAGACGTGGACATGTAATTGGACTATAAATGTTCCAACTGTAAACTGTCGGGTTAACTCAGATTGATTTGATTAGTCTGCTCAAGTGAAATGTTAGTTCATTTTTCCTACTCTCCTAGCTTTGAGCACTAGTGACAATGAATGACGTTTTGATGCATGTTATTTGTAGTATCATTAGCACTATACTTACACCTCTATACTAGCTAGTGATCGACTGACATTATGCCAATGATATAGATTAGCCTCGTCGGCAAAGATAGTAAAATTCCCATCAAGTATATTTACTGAACCACGAGCTAGGGCAACCTTTGCAGACACGATTACATGATATTAGAAACTGTATATTAAAATAGGTGTACCATAGTTCATTGGTAAGGGGCAATATGCTCGAGAATTCAATTATTGGAATTTTAATGATACTGATCTGCATTTCCAGATGTTTATAGAGAAAGCCTCAGCTTTGTGCCATTTACCTTGTTCAATGATAATTGAAAGAGTGTAGTCGTGTTATTACATTTCGAGCCTTCGACAAATGCAAATGATTGAGTTTTATAAATCTGATATTATGACTTACACATTTTAATATTCTACTTATCACATGTATGTATTTTCAGCTGTTTGCCAGATAAGACTAACATCAGAATTATATGTATTGCACAGTGCGTACTGGGCTTGCTCATTTGCATACAGGCGTGCCGTTTCGATTGCGATTAAAATCTATTTCAAAAACGAAAACGCATATTGGTAAAATTCTGAACATTAGGATTGATCATATCACACTGAAAACATTATACATTTTGATTGCTTAAATTTGCACCATATTATTCATCTACATGTATGTACATAAAATGCTGGTTTTGTACCCTGCAAATACGAAAATATAGAATCCTTCTGATAGGACATGAATGAACATGCACAATTTGGATCAAATTTGGACAACTGCAGCAACTCGTTTCTGTGAAACAATTAATTACCGTTATGATTTGCCGTTCAATTACACGCTGATACGGTGGTTTGTTAAAAATGTAATCTATGTAACCAATACGATAACAAGATACAAGATTTAATAATCATTCATTAATATAGTGATCGAGAGGGTATCACCATTTCCAACAAAATATTTTCATGGGGACTGTTAATTATTGCCAATTGGGTTAATTCTCAAACAATTATATTTTTTTTTCACACGAAACAATAAATACACTTATTTATTTTTAGATGCATCGTCTAGGTATGAAAAGTCCCAAATACGTGTTATTGTCAATTCAAACTAACGATGAATGGTGGCAGATTGACGACGGTCTTACATGTTCCCCGGAAGACCTTCTTAATGCCTCCGAGGGAGCCATCTTTTTTGTGTTTTACTTCGAGCGTGGCAACAATACTATCAATGTTGTGAGTATTTTCATTTCACTACCCCATCTGTATTCAAAATTATAGATGCAACTGTGCATAAATCTATGTAAAATATAAATATCGCTATATTGTTAGTATGTAAATTTTACATAGTTTTTGGGTTAGTGTGTGTGTTGATGCGATATCGATATTCCTTATTTTTCAGGACGTCGATGATTTCGGAGAAAGGTATGCCAGGTTAGCGACTGCACTGGGCTTCCCAGAGTCGCTGTTCGCCTACCACCAGTTTGATGCAGTGTACGCGCTGGCGCTTGCTTTGAACAAATCTATTGATTCACTCGCTGTTATTGGAAAGAATCTGTCAAGCTTCAGTTATGACGTGCAAACGGCTGACATATTTTATGCATCATTGAGGGATACTCGTTTTATGGGCATTTCAGTAAGTGAGGCCAGAACTATTTGTAACAGGAGCGGCATCCATGTAAACCATTACAAAACAAATTCGTCAGAATTCGCGAAGATTCACCACACTGAGAAATGTTAAGAAGCGCAACAAATCTGTAATCATCACAATTAAGTGCATGTGAAATCACGACAAGAAAAGCACTTCTGTCGACTGTAATTTCACCACGGCTCACGACACGTTTTGGCGTAAATATGCCGACATTGTATTTTAATTGCAATAAATGCAGTCAAACGTATTTACGTGGGATATATGTGATTCACAGTCCACGATTCTATCTGAAGGCAAAACTATTATATTGTCTTTTGATGGCTATTAGGAACAAAAATTTACCATTCTTTGGTCACGTCTCACTAGTCACCTTTCAATAGATCAGACATGGAAGCTGTCATCAATAAGAAGTAAAGCATTCCTTAAACAATTAGTCAATTTGGCGCAAAAACACGTATAATACAATTGCTTGCATGTGTGTATGACAGATCTATCCATATGTTTGTAGGGTGTCATCCAGTTTGATGAAAATGGTGACCGAATAGGACAAGTTCTTTTCAGACAAGTTCAAAGCGGTGAGTGTGATGACTGTATCAATGTCAAAACGAATATGAGACCCGTGTTCGGACCGATTTGGGTTGTGTTAATGTTAATGTTATGGTTAATGTACATACTTGTATCGATAAATTATGGTATGTAATGTTTTATTTTCTTCACACAGATGGTCAAGTGGAGATATTTGGGGTATACACGTTGTCGGAAGATCTATTTGAACTTGACAATGGATGGACAAGTGTTTCGGATGCCCCACGTGATAGGATCAATCACGTGACTGTTATAATTAAGACGTCTCCTGTCGTTATCGATTTGGCAATAATATTGGCTTCTTGTGGAATAATTTTTTCCATATTGGTCATGATATTTAACATATACAATAGAAAGAAACGGTAAGGTTTATTTCAATACATTTTGTAGAATGTTTCGATTAGATATGTACTATCTAATTCGGTGGATGCATTTCAAGGTATGTAATGTTTAAGAATGAATTGCACGTCTGACCATGTCTGCTACACAGATGGCAAGTGCATGTCACAGTTACTTGAAGTTATGAGGATAACAAATAAAACATTTTTTGTGGGCGAAAGTTGACATTTAGAGAAATGGGTGGGAGCTAGGTGGCAGAGGGGTAGTGTATTGTACCATATTAGAATGGGCATATATGCGAACAAATCTGTGTGCAACATCTGTATGTATTCCACTTCTGATAAGTTTCATGTCCATTTTACTTAGATGTATATCTAATTTAAAATATCTGTATCGATGAGATACTGTTGTGTGTCCCCAGTAGAATGGCTGTCTTCCATTATTGTGCGCACATCTCAAATATATTGTCGTTCAAGATCGGTGGCCCAATCTTGTTCTGTGTTTGTAACGAAATAGATGTGACTACCAGCACTGTGATTTCACAAATGAGTGAAGAAAGAAAGTAATATTTCTACCATACAACGATTCCTACGGGTGTATTAACTGTGTGTGCGAGATCGGTCGGATGCTAAACAGTGTCTAGCAATTTGTTTTCATAATTCTCTTAGCACTGTGGTAATAACACACACACGGAGAAAATACTGAGCGTTTTGAAACAGGGTACAATATACGTTGACTGCATAACCCTTCAACGTCCAACGTCTTCCTGTGAGAGCGTCGGTTTCTTTGATGTGCCTCCCTCTCAGCCACGGGTCGAGCTGTGCATAATTACCAAAATGATTGTCTGCTCACAGTTTAGACCCCAGAGACGTCTTTTAAAAGCATTCACTATGGTTACAAACGCGCGATGAGTGAAAATGTACGATACTGAGGCTATAAATCTTTGGAAAACGTGACTTGTATCATGTGTGCGATCATTCGGAATGCTTGTAAAACAAACGTTATTCAGCGACTTGGGTGTCATCAGCTATGCCATAACTTGTTTGTAAACATAATTTGTAAATAATTCAGTTGCTGGTCCAAATTTCTAGTCAAGCTCTAGTTTTACAATATTTACACGAACTGATGGTCAGTGCCACAAATCAAAGCCATATGAGCCAGAGATAAATACTGCCTAACATTGCATTGAATTTTAATTTTCTGAGAAGGTATAGTAATGTTACCATATACAATTCAGAACAATAATGTTAGGCTGTCTTATTTAAAACAAAGTACCCTCTAACAAAATTCATGCATGCATGCGTGCGTGCGTGTGGGGGGTGCGTGCGTGTGGGGGGGGGGCGTGTGTGTGTGTGTGTGTGTGTGTGTGTGTGTGTGTGTGTGTGTGTGTGTGTGTGTGTGTGTGTGAAAGAAAAAAAGTAAAGGAAGATGCACAATAATCACAGCCAATAACAACAACAAATCCTGACGGTGCTTCCTCAGGCAAACAAGAAATCAAAACAGAAACAAAACAAAAGCTCAAAAAGCGGAATACAGTGTCAGAGCCAGATTATGTGCTCGAATTGTTTGAAGTGTGGATGCACACAGCAGTGAACAATCAATGATTCACCATATAATGTATGCATGTGAAGACCAATCAATGATTCACCATATAATGTATGCATGTGAAGACCAATCAATGATTCGCCATATAATGTATGCATGTGAAGACCAATCAATGATTCACCATATAATGTATGCATGTGAAGACCAATCACTTTGGGGCTTTGACAGCATCCAAGCATCAGTCTTTGATATGAGTACGAGTACGAACTGACACGTTTCCAAGCTTTAATTAGGTAATTTTCATGTGATTGGAATGTATCGAAGGAGTAAACGGCGGTAATCAGTGCAAGTCGCGCCCAGGTCAAACCTCATCCTTGTAATTTCCATTTGAGGAGCGCATTGGATTGTGGGAAAACCAATGTTTATCATCACAAATGTCGAACATGCGCAGCGCAACGACTACCGCGCTTTAATAATGTAAAACCGAAAAGACCAAATGGTGGAATGATATCGAAATATTATTTACTGTTCAAGCTTAATAAACTGTAGATCGTTGATGTGGAGTTGACTGTATACATAGCTCACGTTAATATAGCGAAGACAACTTAATTAACAAATGCGAACAGGATAATGTAATATTCATTGCTAGGAATGCATTCATTAACCGAGCACCACGAGTGAAAGAATTCTACTTGTCAACTGTCAATAATGGTACAGTGATCATAGGTTTACAGAATGGTAGGATGTTGCAAGGACTGGTCAAAGCACTGATAGACTACTATGTCGCCATGTGTTGGCACACCTGACCTGGAAAAGACATGGTAGAATTGTAATCCGATGTGTTCAATGGGTAGAAAGTAAGAGAATAACTGATCAGCCAACCAAATTCAAGGACATGATAAATGTAATCACTGTAAGCCTATGGCATAACAAGCTCAGGAATGTGAAAACCTGGATAATTGTGTGTGCCGAACGCTTTAATGCAGTATTATGCATATATAGTGAAACGTAGGTGTGATACACTTAAAGTGAGTAGTATCGAGAGACTGAGCCTAGACATACGGTGTTACTACGATGTTAGTATCTGGCCACAGACGTTCTTACATTTGACTTGATGTTCAGAAATAGTAACGTTATATGGTTAATGTATCACTTGGTGTGTACAGTGTCGCTGCAGCTGCGATTGCTCACTATAGATCCAACCCTTAACCCACGCTCATAGTGTTCCTTTCTCTGTCATCATCATGTCCACTAATCTTCTGACCCATATTATTCGGAAAATTAGATACGATGATTGGTGCTCTCTATCACCACTATGGTGTCTCTCAATTATTGATTTCAACTCAAGCAGAAATTAGTAATTTTTCCGGGATCTCCAAAACTGTAGAAAAACATAAATTATCCAAAAGTTGCATTATTTTATTTGCCCTGTTAGTTATGCCATGGTTATACATATTCAAAAGCATTTTATAGGTGCTCTTTGGTAAGCGCCCAAGTAGTAGTCCTCAGCAAATAATAAATGTGTATACTCTTTTGTCACAAACCTTTAAATATTTGACAAACCTGCCAATTCAACATCGCCGTAAATACATAATAAAATATTTTCATTAATCCCGTCTATACTCAACCAGTACATGGGAAAATTTCTATCAATCAATCAAACTAATGCCTTCCGGAAGTTGGCATGTATACAATATAATCTTCCATACTTATGTGATAGATATTTTTGAACGATATCTGTCAAAGTGAATACGTGACCAATATAATACCACTCCCTAAAACCTGCCTGCACCTCCGGAATTTTGTTATATTCATTTGCCCAAAGTTTGAGTTTGCCCGGGATACCAATAAATATTTTGCTGAGCATGCCGAGGAGGCTGATATCTATGAAATTGTTAGGGTCACGAGTACTGTTCTTTTTCGTGAATTGGGATTATTATGAATTTTGACCGCTCTTGTGGGAAATACCTATTGTCAAATATAACAATAGACTATGCATTAAAGAAGAGCCAAAGTACAGTAGATTACTGTATTGCGGTCAGTCGATTCGTTTTTTCTTTAGATTATCGCCTTCAAAATTTCTCTTTCTTATTTTTAATTATATAATTCATGTAGATAAAGATTATTAAAAATTTACGTATTTATTTATTCATTGAGAATTTATCTCAGTGGGTATTCAGTGGTTTAGCATTTAAATATTAAAGTACGTATATACACTACATGTAATATTCACAGTATTATTCACATTGCCTTGACTTCTACTGATACACATATATTTTGACTCGTGTCACAACCTTAATGCTTTCCATTATTAGTGTGACTGTCTGCGATCCACTGTTTAGCAAACACCACCAGCTGTGCATAGTTCGACGAGCAATATGCTAATGTATCAGAATAAACAAAATTACTCCACATTGAACTCTGCCACCCATTTTAAAAACGTATTTTCACTTGTGTCATGTCGTGACGTTTTGTTTTTTTTCATTTCCATAAAAGACCATGTGCCCTTTGGCAATCCATTGTTTCGCTAACAGTAGAGGCAAGCAATTCGATAAATTGAAGACTTGCCTGGATGCATAAATCCCAGGGTGTTGACGTATTACGATAGAAATAAGTGATTATTTTCTTATCTTGTCGAATTGTACCGAAGGGGTAGTTTATTATTCTCCTTCCGTTGAGATTAGAAGGACTTCTAAAAAATATTGCGTTTAAAAGAAAGGTTCCCAGAAGAATACCGTTAAACCTGTACTTGACTGCTACCAGATTATAATGTTTTGTTAGCGTATCTTCCTACGGACATGTCATATGTGATAATCTTGTGTGATACTGTGTATTGACAAATGCATCTGTTCACAATTTGTAGAACACGGTTGAGTATTCCTTCGATGAAACCGTGAAATGCTCTAGTACGCATCTATGATCTAACGAACTATGTTGTGTGCCCTGCGACCGTATCATATTTAGTTCATGACTAATCAAAATCAAATTTAGTTTAAATTATAGAGTACTGTATTGCATCTCCACAGTTAACTTTTGATATGAAAACCTGTGGAAAGATGGTAATACTATTGTTTCCGCAGTATACCGATGGTTCCAGACCATCAATGTGCGTTTCCATGTAATATCGCATATATAGACTTCTTTTAACTTTGTGGTGCACAGGAATCGTTTTCCTGATGTAACGGTTACCGAATTGTTATGATATACGTAAAAGATTGTTAAGGGAATTATTCCTAAGGTTCATATGTCGCTGAAATCGATAAAGATATCCCTGAAAAACATCAAAATCGCACATCGGCGGCGATGAATTGCAAGGGAAGCCGTGCCCAAGGATTGGCATTCCAATATACAAATGAGACATGGAATACGATAAGAAGCACATGCACAAACATGCTGATGAATATTATCTCAAATTTATGAAATTCGTGTAGTGATTAAGATATTTTTCTCTTCTTAATATCCTCATTGGAGATTTTATTATATTTGTTTCTGGGTAGTGTAATTAAGATGTCAAGTCCAAATATCAACAATCTCATCTGCGTTGGTGGCGGTATGGCGTACGCGTCGGTCATTTTACATGGTTTAGGAAACAATGCCGATTCTGTCAAGACACACGATGCATTGTGCAAGGTTGGTATAACGAACAATGTATCAAATTGTAACAGAAAATGACAGTGTATTTTGTTAAATTACATTAGTATGTATCTGATATCTAAAATGATAGAATTCATTCGTCCGTCCGTCCGTCCGTCCGTTCAAATGCCAACTCTATTTGGAAACAGCGAGTCATGCTCGCGCCATATTGGAACACTGTCTTCCGTTTACATTGGACGCATTGGAAATTGAATCCATCACATATTCACTACCTGAACGCAAAAAGTTCACACAATGAAAAAGTGTTATCTCTCATTAAATTGCTAGCCAGAAAAGTATGTATAAGGTTGTCCCGAGGATACTGCAAAGTATGCACTCAGACCATACGAGTCACAACTATCCCCGCTGTGCGTCAATACGGTAGCCGCCGTGCTTTGCTACTATAGCAACGCAGAGTAATATTGTTATTGGTATTGTATTGTTACTCTCAGTTTTATAATATTAGTGTTGCTATTTTTAGTGATATAATGACTATATTTTGTTACTTTCAGTGATATAATGCCCATATTTTGTTACTTTCAGTGATATAATGCACTGCGTATTATAACTCTTCGTGATATGTTAATTGAAATTCGGTGATATATCGCCCGTGTGTTGTTCCCCTAAGTGATATAATGTCTTGTTATTTTAACTTTTTTTTCTAGATATCGCCATGGGTCTTTTCATTGGGATTCACTATTGGGTTCGGTGCACTGTTCGCAAAGACCTGGAGAGTCCATCGTATATTTACCAGCAAAACCACGAAACGCATTGTGAGTAATAACCACAATACTAGCACATTGCCTTTCCGATCTGTTGTAATCGCCTTTATTTCATACAGAATGTCGTGCGACCATAGTATTTCTCTCACGATTGATTATACACATGAGCTTGTCAACTTATGGCGAGGAAACTCCTCAACCTCACACTTACCAATCAATCTATAGATTTTCTCTATATATACTTGGTGAAGACTCAAAACTTAATGTCATTTTTTTATTTAATTCCACATATAAATAATGTTTGCCCGGGACAATGCACAGACATGATTAGTTTGGGGTTGATATCTTTACCTAATAATTACCTAATTTCCAAACCTATATCTCAAAAAACAATTATTTCTCTTCAGTAATACTTGGTATATAAGTATATAATTGCCTATGGACAATGCTAAATACCTTACTAGTTTTGGAGTAGTATTTGGGCATAGAAATTGCCTAATTTGCATAATAAACATTATTTTAATGTTGTGCATCTCAATTAGCAGATAAATAATAATTGCCAAGTTTTTTGAATAAATGTTTAACATGCCTCCAATATTCTCAGCACACGGGAGTCCCTTCTAAGCATTCTTTGATATGGATTGACGTTGTTTTGATTTGAACACCAAAACTATTGCAATGATCAATAGCATTTAAAGGCGGTAGTCTTCGCGCCACGCATGCGCGAGATATATGTGTCTTATACAAACAAAGATGGCGATTTTTACTGTTGCGTAGATCAACGAGTACAAAGTGGATAGTTACCGAGCTTTAATTAAGTATTTTTTTAGGTGATTGGAAGGTATCGAAAGAGTTACCGCCGGTAATTAGTGTAGGTCGCGCCCAGGTCAGACCTCATACTTGTAATTTTCATTAGAAGAGCGCATTGGATTGTGGGAAAATCAATGTTTATCAACACAAATATCGCACATGCGCAGCGTGACGACTGCCGCCCTTTAAATGAAAAAATGATGCATTGAATCTTGATATTCAAACTGAATCCACATTCGAAGACTCCCCCCCCCCACCATTCATGAGTTGACAATCCCTAATAAGTGTACGTGTACTAGGTGTATGCGTGCAAGTGTGTCGATTAAAGCGGGGGGTCGTCCCCTGCGCATGCGTCAGATGGCCATAGCGTGTCATTGTTTACAAACATGCGTTTACCCATGAGCCTTTGCGTTTTGGCCTGTGTTGTTATCGTCGCCTGGGATTCAATTCCCGCGCGTGCGCAGGTGACGACCCTCCCACTTTAACATTTTTTAAATGTTTTTTTTTTTTTATTTTGCTAAATTATGATGTTATGTTTGTTTTAACTATAACTTAATAATTTCACAGAATATACTGGATTGGAATCTATTTTTATTCGTGGGAATCTTAGTGTTTATTGATGTTATAATACTCACAGTTTGGACCACTGTGGACCCCGTTACTACTAACACAGTATCCATGGTTACACGGGTGAGATATTTCTCGTTAGTCTATTAATGGTGGTTTGCTTAAAGGCCTTCGTGGAGTGTTGTGGGCAGAATTGTGGGGGGATGTGGCTAACCTTTTTAAAAAATGTCAAGACATTGCATTAATGAAGAAAGAAAGCCTGCTTATTAACAGGCAGAAAAAGGTAGTTTATTTACCGTCATTTTAGCATAACTGACTAGCGAGAGTGTATTTCCAGGTGTTTTTACGTTTCTGCCCTCGAATCTATTTATGTTTTCAACGAAACCTTGACCATTTCACAAGTATATTAATATATATCGGACATTCAATCAGTACTATGGCATTCAAAGTTGTACATTCCCGAAGATGGAAGGTTTACAATATCCTAAAAGTGAAATATGCATATTTACTGGTTCCTTTGTCATGGGGATTACATGTATGCTGATTGGATGAATTATGGTCGCCTAGGTTCTTTACATAGACAGGGTAGCAATTTAAGGTAGAATAGAAATACCTAAAAAAAATATTCATTTTTCAATAAAATGCACTCCCGGGCAATATAAGGATAATGAATTTAAAAAGTTGGTGATCACCAGCTTAATTTATGAAAAAATTATTATTGTATTTTAGTGAATAGTGGTCATTTTGACAGTAATATGACGTTTTTACCTTTGGTTCCTATGGCAGAGATAATATGCCATATCTCAAATTTCAGTTTTATGACAATTACATATTGCAAATAATGAGATACTTTTTGATGTCTTCAATTATTTCACAAATCTGGGTTTTAAAAAGTATTAAAAAATACATTTTACTTTTAACATTGCGCTCTGTGTAACTGTTCTAAAAATATTGGGACAAGTTTCTCAAAATACGTGCTATATCATGGTGCCATTAGCTTCCTGATTTTACAAAATAAACCAACTAATATTGTCATGCGATTTAAGGCCAATTTTGCAAAAGTTATGAGTAGGCTTCTACCTTAAATACTTGTGCAATCAACTTTCAGTAAACCTGCCAAGTTTTTAGCTATATTTAATTATGCAAATTGTATGCAAATGCATAAATTAGGTCATCAAAACAATAACATTTTCTAATTTTTAAGTGATTAAACCAATGATTTTCTTGAACTGGATATCAAAAACAAAGAGAAATGAATGTAGATTAGAAAAAGCATAGGTTTCATCTTTGAATGCACATTAGATGTTTTGAACCATTGTAATAAATACAGTGTTATCGACTTGGAAGTTTAATCAGAGAGGAACACAGTACATTTCATATACATTAAATGCGCGCCCCCCGTGACAAAAATGTGGCAAACAATGTCGTACAAATAGGCAACTCTGGTTGTGTAATAATTGGTCAATTTGAATATATCAAATCTTGAAAAACAGTGTTTGTTATTGACGGCTGTGCACAGATTTAAAAAAATACCGTGTGCCTCATATCTACTTACGTCATATAAGTGATTCACAGTTAAAGGTGTGTCTCGTAGGAACGGGATATTTATGATTCCTAAAAATAAATAATTATGAATTACTGTTACAAAGATATTCTCAATTAATACAGATATGTTTAATGATGAGTTCTATAATTAACAGGTGGACGAAGAGCAAGACGCTTTAATATTCCCCGTACTGCGCAAATGTTACTCAGAAAACGAAGTCATATGGCTAGGACTATCATGCGGTTATAAAGGAATCATCTTGTTATTTGGAGTGTTTCTAGCCTGGGAAACAAGGAAGGTATACCTCATAGCACTACTAGCTTACTCTAATGTTACCAATTATACATCAAGGTCAAAAGTAGTAACGTGTATTGGGGCTTGTTCGGCATCAGTCTGATTAAAATATTTTTGGGCTTTTTTCTTCTTCTTTTAATTGATTATTTTCGTTTATGACATTTCAAATAACCTAGTCTACCAATCAGAGACGATGATTATGCCATGGCTGTATATAAAGCTTCCTCTGATTGGCTATTTAAATTGAGATCTTCTATGAAGGTTGCTCAGATCGTTAGGTTTTTTGCGATAAGACAATTACAAAGAATTTCATTCAAAGAAATATTTGAAAAAAACGAACATCGAACAAAATGTGAACAAAAAAAAATTAAATCTGATTTTTACTCTCAATTTACAATTATGTATCCGTGATGTAAACGCGCTGCTACTGTTAATAAACAAAAGTTTATAACAAAATATGTCTGTGGCGTTGCTGTGATATTATGCAAATGCCAAACGACTATTGTATCTGTCTCACTAACATGCATTTCGTGTTTAACGTCATCTTTATTCCAAGGTTAAATATGAAGCCTTGAACGACTCTCACTACATCGGAGCTTCAGTGTACTGTGTTTTACTTTTATCCATCATTGGAATCATGCAAATGATATTCCTGAAGGATTCCCCTAGTTTGGAATATGCCTTGTCTGCCGCTTGTATTATCACTTGTACAACTTCAATACTGTGCGTGGTATTTCTACCTAAGGTAGGAATATAAATATTGTTTTACCGATTTACGTATTCAAGACAGAATATTAAATATAGTGCCCGTATGTAGATTGTCAAATATAGTGTTTCATATATTTTGCCATTGCACAGCGACCTTGTTGATGAAGTTAAGAAACTTTGATAAAAATAAAAACGCCCCCTCCTCCCCATTTTTTTAAATGATTGTTCGACCAGATTTACTTAGGCAACAACATTATAATAACATCATTATGTTTACAGATGAAACAGTTGCGTGGTGGATCCAGTGACGTCTTCCCGACGAACGTGAACACAGAACAGCTGCATACCAACGGTACATTTCAGACAACCAACCATCCTCCTTTCAAGCACTCGATCGGAACTTGTGAAGACATCGAAGAGGAATTCAAACGTTTAAAGAACCAATTAGAGTCGCATTAAATAATGGTCATTAGTGTTCATGTAAGAGTCAGAAAAAACTTGGAGGCAAAAGTTCACAGTTTCTACTTGTACGTGTTTGTTCACGTATTATAAATGGGTCATGCCCCAGGGTCATGTACGTCTCCCGACCTCCGTCAGGAGTATTGTTTCATCTAGATTAACTGTATTTGTGGATTCAAGCTCGGTGATAACGTGCTGTACTTACAACCAGGAAAGACATTGATAATTTGAAAATGGTGTCTTACAATTTAAAATATCGAAAAGTATGTGTATCCAATTCCCCGTGAATAGCCATTTAACAAGATACTCGTATGGTCATTATCAAACAACACTTACTACAAATGTATAACGCGCAATGATGGCAATTATGTGTGACATAATCAATTATCGTGCTAACGTGTTATCCACCTATCTCTATTGTTTAAGATCACGTATTACTGCAGTGTTCCAAATGAAAAAGTCACGTGGTTGGTGTTATATTTTCCTTGTAGTCGGCACTACGTTAATTACAATTGCATATAAATAGAAGAGCAAAACTGTGTAAATAAATAAATATTATTCATTCGAATTGTTTGCATTAGTTCCAACGCATTTTACTGCAAAACATATTACAATATTGTCCCCCAAATTATGTTCAAAAATTTCAGATCTTTTTATAAAAACTTTGTACTTCAATGTGATATATATATGCGAGTATGTCGATGTTATCTATCCCTTGAAAGCTCTTCCTCGTGGTTCTCGCTAAAGACGGTAGTAATGAGGCAGCGAAAAGTCACGATGTTTTGATTCCGCTGGAAAACAAGAGTGGCAGCAGATGATGTTACCCCCCCCCCCCCATCCCGCGGCTTCAGTTAATATCTCTAATTTTCATTCTTCAAATTCCTTCACTGTTTTTAACACAGCGTACTTCTCTATGTCTTTTAGGACTTTGTTTCCGACTGCTTGCATTTGTGTTTGATGCTCTGATTTTAAAATAAAAACTTTAATAAGTTGTTTATACTCACAGAATATTATATTATTACTAAATTATTCGAATTTATACATAAAACTGTAAATAAAAGTGTTGAATGTTTAAATCACGTCCAAGTGTAATTCTTTTCCCGCAGTACAGCAAGAAGCGTGTGAATAAGAATGTATCGCCCGAATTTATGCCTTGTCTCATTTGGCCTTAGATACAAAAAAAGTGCCAATAGTGAATACTTAACTAACTCATTTAAGTATGCAAGAACAAGAACGTCTTTCTCGAAAATACCAGATTGCCACATATAATGGTTCACAATAATTTCGTTATATATCAGTCTGCGTCGCAGTCGACGAATGGGAATATCGAACATAAAAAAAATCGATATACAAGAAAGTAAATTCTTTTTATCGGGTTAACCTCTAAATGTGACGGAAATAGAAACACGTCACTAAACACAAATGATTGCGTAAGCACGAATCTCGTAAAATATGTTTTTTGATGTTTTATCTTATTAAATTGTGACTACGAGTATGGCGAGAGTGGTGCAAAGTATGCACTCAGGCAGTACGCCCCGCTGAGCGTCGCTGCGACGTATCAGCCGATACTATTGTCGCACTGCCGTTAGTAAGCACTTTGCCGTAATCTCGTCATAATCTCGTAGTCTTTTGACACATAACCTTCAAGGCGATATTTGATATATTTTCCGACAAGCGTTGAAACACGTTTCATTATTGACCCCTGAACAAAAATATGTAACACTTGAAATATTTATTTTGTTGCCGTGTTCGTATATCAAACATGTAATACTATATATTAAATATATTATGAGTTTGGGGTGATATCAGTAATCGTATATGTTTTGAATTTTGCGCAGTTGGCGGGAAATATACGACCAAAAATTATTTTGTATAATATCTAACACGACGCGTTACGACTACGTTTTGGCGTTTCAAATTCCGAACCGTCCACCGCAAAATTGCATGATGTAACAGTATTCTATTAACTACTTCGGTTACGGTTACTTTGTCTTGCTAGCTGGAAGCTTTCCCATTATTTGGACTGAGATAAACGCAAATAGTTTCTTGAAAAAAATACCGTAGATCAAAATTCAAATACGAAATATGCTTTTGGAATAGATGAGCTTTGAGTTTGGATTTGGATTTAATACTTTCCGTACCGTAGTGATAAGTTGTGACTGGTGAGAGCGTCTTGCATACTTTCTAGCGTTTATCAAGCAAGTGCTACGATTACGTCATTACAAAAAGAAGAGACTTGCCGGAAAATAAGTATCGGAACTAGGTTCCTTGTCCTAACGCGAAGAAATAATACACAAAAACAAAATGATAGGGGAAAAAAACAAGATGGCGGTATGCTCTGTGTTTATTCAATTAAATCAAAAATAGTTTCACAACTTTGACTGAGTACGTTCTTTACCAGAGGTTGTCTTGAAAACTACACACCATCAATACGTTTGTCAGCTCAGTACTAATCCCGCCCGCATGTATTGACAATAATTGGCCCAGGAAAGAAGGTACAGGTAAGAAGTCTTCGTTAAAAACGGAAAGCTCATCGAAGCGTTGAATACAAATGGCGATAATCATCATGGAGTCTCAAAAGACTCATTTGACCGCTGAAGGCTTTTTCTAGGCATCGTCCTCATCGAACTTCTGTTTTAACTTTTGTTCCATCTGAGCGAATTTCGCCCTGTTGATGTAGCCACGGCTTCTGCTTGGCATCGGACCATGCATAGTCTTATCGATGACCTGCGCACTCTGTTGGATTATTGTTCCGATGTTTGCTGACTTTGAGGTTATGTAGTTGCTTTTCTCCATTGCCATCAAGTTCGACAAAATGTCGCCACGTTTCTGCAGATACAATGACAGATAAATTGTTATGGGTAGCAGGTAAAAAAGAAAGAAACGTTCGCTTCACGTATTTCTTAATGAATCGGTGGAGGGAAAATGTGTTCAGTTTTAACACCTGTTTATTTAGTCTACACAGTTTTTGATTTACCTGATAGGTTTTACCGAAACTTCGACTTGAATCGTCACATTATTACTTGGATTCTGAGAACGACGAATTTAGAATTCTAAATAACTCCAAAAAAGCACCCCTAAAACCGCGTTTTAAACACGATGATGGTACGACGTCACGCGGAGAGTGGCCCCGCTGGATTTGGACACTATCATTGAGAGGTCATTAAGGATCTGCCTGGATTTGTGCCGGTGTATTAAACACAATATTTTGTATAAGGGATGTTAGTCTTTATTTGAGAGGTCACAAATGAATGTCACGTGATTTTACAATGCATTATGGGATATCCGAAGGATGTAGAACTGTATATTGTGGACATTTACATCGTTAATTGTGTATAGATCTATTGCAAATACACACTTACTAAAGATTTTGATTAACTATTCATGGGTCACACGACCTTATTAATTATGCACATATCTAATTCCCAGAAATTAGATTGCAAATAAATACTACAAACCGGAGGTTGCCCACGAAGATAAGAAAATTCAGATAAACTACAAAGTGGTCACGTGGCTTCATAAATTATGTACATGGCAAAACTTCAAAAGATTAATGAAGATGCGCTTTTATTGACTGGATGTTTTCCTCGTGGTTGAGGTAATTCGAATAAAAAATAGCTAATCATGTGACTTCATTAATTACGCACATATCTCATTCTTAGAAATATATTGCAGACACTTATCAACTGAATATTGTACACACAAATGTTTTGATTTTAGGTATAGTTTATTTCGGCATTTCCCCTGTAATTCGATATTTTGTTTTTCTTATATACAGTCTGGGCGTGTACAGTAAACGATGTTAGTCTTTGTGGAGAGAGTTCAAATATATCTATTGCGAACACGGTGCGATGCGACGTCTGTCATTGTGCATGAGTATTCCGATTTTGAAATCCTAAATTTCTGCCAAGATGTGTGGATACTAGTTATGGCTCT